AACTGTAGTCCATTTTTGTTAGCCGCTACGTTGAACTATCATTTAAATCGTGCCCCAGATCAGTTTGCAGTTACAGCCAACATTTTGAAGGAGTCCTTCTATGTTGATAATTGCCTGACTAGTTTTAAGAATGTTGAAGAATTGAATAGATTTGTACTAGAATCGAGAATGTTATTGTCACTGGGAAAGTTTAATCTTAGAGGATGGCAGTCGAATTGTGAAACCGAAATAATTCCCAACTCTAAATTAGATACATTCGTTTGCGTTTTAGGGTTAAACTGGGATTTGAAGGATGATACTCTTTCCTGTAAAATTGAGTCACTAAAGAAAGAGGAGATTGTCGCGAGAGTAAACGAACACTCCTTTCTTGCGCGCATAAGTTATTTGACCCAGTAGGCTTCCTTTCTCCCGTTACCCTGTTCCCAAAGGTGATATTGCAAGAGTGTTGGAAATTACGATTAAATTGGGATCAAAAATTGCCAGAACATTTAGAAAAGAAGTCCATACAATGGGTAAAGGAAATGAAACTGCTGTCTGATGTCAAAATTCCTAGATGGCTTAATATTGACAGATCGGTTAACGAAGATGTAAGTCTTCATGTTTTCAGCGATGCCAGCAAGCATGCCTATGCTACCTGTATTTTCTTAAGAGTGAAGACCGAAAATAAGGTTTATTTAAATTTTGTGCAAGCACGCACTAGAGTTAAGCCTTTAAAGAGTATATCCATTCCTCGTTTGGAATTATTATCCTGCTTAATCGGAGCACGCTTGGGACGTATGGTCTTTTCAGATTTGAACATGCCAAATTTAAGAACATTCTTCTGGACTGACTCAACAACCGCTTTGTGCTGGATCCAGCGAGACGTACGGTGGGGAACTTTCGTTTGGAATCGTGTCCAAGAAATCAGAACACTTACAAAAATAGAAGATTGGCATTACATCCCTTCGGAGCTGAATGCCGCCGATCTCCCTTCTAGAGGCTGTTCAGTTAAACAGTTTTTGCTGTCGAAATGGTGGGAGGGCCCATCATGGCTGTTAGAACCAGAATCGTCATGGTCAAGAGGCACCGATTTGCCGGACGAAGAGATCATAAATTCAGAAAGGCGTAAATCAGTATTGACAACTCTTAACAAAGATTCTAAACCTGACAATTGGTATTACAGGTACTTTTCATCCATAAAGAAAATTGTACGCATGTTAGGTTGGATTCTTAGGTTTTACTTTAAATTACGAAGAATTACAAACGAAACCTCCAAAATTTTGTCAGTTTCGGAAATTGAAAGAGCTGAGATAACTCTTATGTTATTGGTTCAAAGAGAATCATTTAAGAGTGTGAACGAACGATGATAAAATTAAAGACCTCAGACCTATAGTTGATCGTGATGGTTTGATCAGAGCTAAAACCAATATTTCTTATCGCGACGATACTGATGACTTTAAGTTTCCTGTCATTTTGCCATCTGATCATGCAGTAGTAAAAATTACTAATAATGAATGCACATAATGAGCTGCTGCATGCTGGTACTTCTATGGTGATGTCTCATTTGCGGGAAAAGTATTGGATCCTCAAAACTCGTAAGACAGTACGAAACTGCATTAGAAAATGTGTTAAATGTCAAAGATTTAAATCCAAAAGTTGTGATGTAACTCCAGGAATTTTGCCGAAAGATAGAGTACGTGATGCAAATGTTTTTGAGATAGTGGGTGTCGATCTGGCAGGACCCCTCTACCTTAAAGGATGGTCGAAAAGCTTATATTGTTCTTTACACATGTGCGGTCTATAGGGCCATTCATCTGGAGTCAGTAACATCCTTGACAACTGAAGCTTTTTTCCAGTCATTGAGACGTTTCATTTCTCGTCGCGGAAGACCATCTATAATATACTCAGACAATGGCAGTAATTTTAAAGGAGCGGAGAGCCTTCTGCATACAATTGATTGGGAGAGTCTGCGATCAAAGGCCGCTGAGCAAAGAATTCAGTGGAAATTTATTCCTCCTTCCGCACCTTGGTGGGGAACGGTTTAGTTCAAATAGTTCAAATGGTGAAACAGATTCTGAGAAAAGTTCTAGGTCGTGCTGCCCTGGATTACGAGGAGTTGCTTACAGTACTATGCGACTGTGAGAGAGTAATCAATACTAGGCCACTTACCTACGTGTCGGAAGACGTTGAAGATTCATCCCCATTAACTCCAGAAATGTTCCTGCGGGAGATTTCCAAATCAGGAGTACCTGATATCGATACAGTGGATAAGGAAAAACTGAGTAAACGAGCTAAGTATCTACAAAAGGTGAGAGAACAACTTAGAGCAAGATTCCGTGTGGAATATCTAGGACAGTTACGTCAGCAGTCCATTAAAAACTCTATAGCTAAACCTCTCCAGGTGGGTGAAATTGTTCTACTTGAAGATAACAACAAAAAACGTGCTTTTTGGAACCTGGCGCGTGTCATAAAGCTGCTACCTGGTCGTGATGGACAAATAAGACTTGCTGTCATAAAAACAGAGACTTCTGAGTTTCTGAGACCAGTGCAAAGACTGTACAGACTTGAGCTGGATAACCCAGTCCAAAAGGATATGACTGAAAATATTCCTATGACTACCAGCAGTGGTAGAACTGTGAAACCAGTGATACGTCTGTGAAATGTTTTGTACTTGTTTGAATACTTTGTAATAATTTGATTTATTTTTATTTTTCTAGGTTTAGTATTATCTGTTAATATGTCTAGAAAATTATGGAATGCTGCATCTCCAGGTAAATTTGTATTTCAATTTAATTAGAACATCTTGGTAGGCATAATTTTATACTTCAATATTGTATACTGTACTATTATGCATATATTATACTTAACAGATGTGTGAATTTACCTCCCAGTAAATTCAGGTGGGAGGAATATGTAGCGAATAGTTTATCCAACAGATGGCAGTATCTGCCAAGCTCCTTTGGTAATTGTCATTGCGCATGCGCAAGCGGAGTGTAAAAAGAAGTATGTTATTAGGAGAATGAGCTTTCGTTAATAATGTTGCTGCGCGTTTTCGCTGTGTAAATAAAAGTATATTTTTATATCATAGATGTTCTTTACTCTCTAATGCGAAGCACTAGGTTAGTGCACGAATCTCTTCTGATTCAGAAACCATTTTCAAAACCGTGGATCACCACAATATCTGTTATTTCTAACAGCAGATAATTGATATTTTCAGGCGGTCCCCCCCCCACTTTGTTGTTGTAATCTTTTTTTTTTTTTTTTTTACAGTTCTTTTCCCTGTTCCAACATCAATCATCGTTATTATGGACTGTACTCATCAAACGTATATCCTTCTTGTCTTTCCAATTTACAACCTCATTTTTTTCTCTTTTTCTGCTGAGTAGACGTTGAAGCCATCTCATCTCTCACTGTCTTGTATCTTATGTAAAATGGCGCGAATATTCATAAAACCCGGGGCAAATTCAATTAGAAATAGAATGCCTTGATTAGTGCTACCCTCTAGGAGGTACAGAAAAGGGCGCAGCCCCCGTCCTCCTAATCGACTTGATTTAATGACTTTTTAGGGAAGCGCCGAGTCATAACCACAAACGAGGACATCCAGCAGCCCAGCCATGTTCCACCCTCTAGGAGGTATTAGAACAAACAAAAATAAAACTCAAACAAGTAAACACTTAGAAAGCGCTTTAAACGTTTCAAAGTTTTAAAATGTAGGAGAACACTTGAGCCGCGTCGCGGCCACCCTGCGGAACTTTCACTTGAACGCGCTACACGCGTTACGGACGACGACGAAGTTAATGTGCCTTTTTCATTGACGTCAGTGGAGCAGGCTGCCTCCTTTGACGACTGTGGAAAACTACAAAGTCGAGAAAATGCAATTAACATTTTCTTCTAATATTTGATCTAAAGAAATGTCCCTATGTTGTTCAAATTCACCCACTTTATTCTGCAAGGTAATTCTTATACTGTGTATATTATGGTACGTGCATTAAGTGTTGATATCACTAAAACGTGTGCTGAACGAATGTTTTGCACACACTTTTTAAATGTACACATAAATACAATTAAATCATTCGCAGTAAATCAATAATAGAAACTTTTATTCTTTGATGAAACAATTTACTTAACTTGTTAGGTTTTATGCATTTTTATCACACACATATATTTTCATGTCATTTTACATATCTCCTAATTAATATTTCTTTCTTTCACTTTCTCATTTCCTGAAAACTAGTGCTGCTGTTTAGTGTTTCTTATTAAGCTTTAATTAAAATATGTTCAGATTTTTTTCCTCAGAAATTTACCTCATGTTATGTTACAAATAGGCATTATTTCAATATGTTTGGAAGATTCATATATTGAATTCAGATCTTCACTTTATTGTAATGTATACACATGATGTCATAAACTATGTCTTCAAAGTTATCCCTACTACTATGATGGTGAAAAACTGCAGTTGCTTATCATACTGTCAAGCTCAATTTTCCATCTGTTAAACTATTAACATGATCCAAGCCAGTCTGATATTTAAAAAAAACATACTGAGGTAACACAGTTTAATGCATATGTAATTATTTTAGATTTGGATGTAATGTTAATGTTTATGTCAGGACAGTACAGCTATTTTGTAATTGTAAGCCTCTTCTTTTTTTAATTGCAATCTATTGGTGTGAGGAAAATATAAAATAAAATTATGTAAAGTGTCATGCACATATTTCACATAAACAGAATTTACTTTTGCTTTGGATATATTGCTATATTTATGTCAGGACAATCCAGCTATTTTAGATTCATAAGTCACATTTTTTTAGTTGCAATCTACTGGTATGTGGGAAAAGTATAAATAAAAATTATGTAATGAATGGGTGGTCAACGCCATAGATGGCACAATGTTTTTAAATTTTGAGTTATCTATTATATATTAAAGGTTATAAATACTGCATTCATATTTTTTAATACAATAAAATTCTACTGTCTCATGAAATCTCTTAGATAACTGTAAATCAACAATATAAATTCTTTCATGCAGATGTATTATTATTTAATAACTATTTAACAGGAATTAAACAATAATTGAAATTATGAATTCCTTATGTCAACTTTGTCTAAAAATATCATAATGATCATTTCCAGGTTTTTGAGTGCTTTATATTTTTCCTGTTATTTGCATAACTTAGCATGCAGTCAAATGCCCACATACAAAACAAACATTCATTGGTTTTCGATACTTTACTAGTGACCAAATAATGCTCCACTTTGTCTTCACATACCTTTTCAAAAAAAAAAGACATCATTAGAAGTTGCTTTATACTTTCAAATAATCAAAAACAATATTCTTTTTCAGAATTTCAGTTATTAATGTAAATGTTAATACTATTGCATTTTATATTTTCAGAAAATATAGACATACCAATGAAATATTAACCCCTTCTTCTGACAAAAATTTTAAAAAATGCAAAAACAATTTTGTTTTATTATAAAGGAAATTAAAAAAAACATCTCTCCATCTCAAGCTCCCGCTCTCCAAAAACTGAATAAAATCTCCTATGTTATTTCACCATTTCTGATATTTTATACGAAACATTCGGCAGTATTCTGAAGTCCAATTATAAATACTTAAGTTCTGGTAATGAAATTTCCTGTATATCATTACATATTTTGTTCAACGAAATTTCTCTTCAATACTTTACGTGTTAATAAACATTCTCTATTCGTAAAAAGCAAATTTAACTTTACTATATTCTTTTAAAATACTTCATGAGTTTATGTCTGAAGAGCTCCGTGTTCTGTATTCCTCGATAGCTATAACTTTTAATGGTTTATTATTAATTTGGAATTGAATATGCATACAAAGTTTATTTTGTTTTATCCAGCAACGAATAAATTAACTTCTACAACATGTTCCACAATACGTTTTCATCTCACATGCAATTGTTTTTGTCACGTGACCAAACAAGTTACGCTATTATATATGAGTCATTCAGCATTTTCTCCACAGGGGTACTGCGAGTACATGTTAGGAACATGCATATCGGATTACGTGGAACTATCCTTGCTTATCTATCATCTTTACCAGACTTCAAGAATTGACAAATATTAATTGCATCTCTCCTACCCAATTTGGATTTCAGAAAAAACATTCTCAAATTCTTGGCATTATCAAATTAGCTTAAGTTTTAATAATAAAGAATGTGTTATTGGCTGCTTCCTCAACATTGAAAAAGGCCTCTGAAAAAGTATGGCATCCTGGAATTATCCACAAAATGATAAATTATAATTTTCTTACTTACGTCATGAAAATCATCAATAGTTCCGTCCAAAGTAGAAAATTTTACGAGTAAAATCAGGAAACTCTCTCCTCTTAAGTCAGTTCAAGCTGGTGTTCAACAAGGCTTTGTTCTTTCAACTATTCTCTGTAATATTTTTATTAATGACATGTCTAATCCTCATCGTACTCTTTTTCCCAAATCTGCAGATTACACAACTCTGTTAGCAGGTCATACAGGCCAGACACTGCTTTTCAAATTCTTGAGAATGCACATAATGAGGTCGATAACTGGTGCATTAAAATCAACCCTTTTGAATCTGTTGCAATTCTTTTCCACATAAAAAAAAGCTACAATTTACAAATCAAAAATATCAAAGTGCAGCTCAACAAATCAATAAAATATCTCGGAGTGTATCTGGACAATAAATTAAAATTCGAGGAGCATGTAAATAGCATTTGAATCAAAGCACAGAAAGCTTTCACGGCAGTTTATCCCCTATTAAAAATAAACTCTCACCTAAGCACTGAAAATAAAAGAGTTATTTCTCTATGTAACGATGGACCCTGTCATTCTATATGCAGCCCCAGAAAGGGTTGGGACTCCAAACTGAAACCGAAAGTAAGTTTCTCCACATCATCTCTGATGCCCCATGGTATTTACAAAACAGTATCATCCATGCTGACCTTAAGATCACCACCACTGAAGAGGAGCTTTCAAAGTCTTGCGAAAAATCATTTCACAACCGTGCCCACGTCTAACTTAGCTGAAATTTTGGAGATTTTAAATTCCGACCACACAGATATGCAGAAGTACAAACGACCTTGCACTGTACATAGTAACTCAACCTGAAGTCTGAATGACTACCCTGAATTTTCAACTTTCCTCCACACTCTCTTAGCACAACACAAAGTTCTCAGCTCCGGTCGTATCCAGAGTTCGAGGTCCTACTTTTTCTCTGGTTTGCATATTTTTACTTATGCATATTTAAACAAGCTGCTTTGTACAACTAATTATCCAAGATTCTTTTATTTCTGCCTTATGTTTTTGTAAATAGAGACTACAGTTTATCATCTCATAAGTCTTACTATTGGGATTTTTTATATCATTCTCAACTGCAATTTTAAATTTAAGCAATGACTACAGTTTATCATCTCATAATGATTTTTATGATTAATCTTCGGCTTTTAGGTGACTTTATACTTAATTCTTTTTATCCAAAGTACCTCCAGCTCAATTTTTCAAGATGATCTTGTTAAAGCCACAAGGACAGATACGCGACACACAACTAAGATAATGGTAATGGTATCGCTGCTTGCACACTGATGCATATGTCCAGCATGCCCTCTTTTATTAGCAATTGTGACTCCAGGATTGTGTTTTATTTTAATTTTGGTTGTCTTTTGGTAATGCAATCTCTAATTAACGTGTAAACTGTATGTTTTAATTCCCCTTTTTACATTCGTACCTTTTCTTTTAGCATTCGTTGCTTATTTTTTCATTTATTTACACAAAACAATTTGAGCATACATCTTACATTGCTACAATCAGAAGTCTTTAGATCATATTCTGAAAAAAAAAAAAACTGGGGAGAGGGGGGGGGAAGAATATGTGAGTAAATACACTATATCTTTATATATATATATCTTGGTAATTGCCTAAGTCATCTGTGCTTCAATCTGGCCCTGCCCTTCTTATAAAATAAAAATCGCATGTGAGAAATGTGTGTTATTATTTGTTTAAAAGGACATATTGTAAGCTGCTATTGGAAAGAAAAAAAGTAAATATAATTAGTCATGTCGTATTAAATATAGAGGAGAGAAATGTTAGTATGATTGAAAAGGCCTCTGTTTAGTTCATATAAACAATTACTTGTATCTAACCAGTGGAGAGCTATGAAGATTTGAAGCAAAGGATTCATACACTATCCTAAAGACAAAATGCTTTTTTTTTTTTTTTTTTTTTTTTTTCTAATAGTAATATGTTTTACTTTTTACAGCAACAGAAAGACAAGTCAGTATGCAGGAATAGAAAACATTTAAAAATTAAAACAAATCACAAAATATTAGAGATTATAACTGAAGTTTGATAACAATCATCAGTGCCCAGTCTTAAAAAATCCAACTTACAAGTTGATTAATAAAACATATTTATCATTCAATGCAAAATGCTTGCATAGAGCTTGGGTGACTTCTCCAAATAGCAAGAGTTATACACTGCATGCTCTCATGTTCCAAAAACAGTCGAATTTTTTTTTTTTTTTTTTTTTGTTTCAACATATTGATCTTTACTACGGTTATTTAATTTTTCTTGATTTTGGTTGTGGATTTGAGATAAACAGAAGCAAATTTATCAAGAAAAATTCCAACATAATTCTTTTCATGAGCAGTTTTCTACCAAATCTTCTAATTCTAAGCATGGTGGTCGGAGCTCTGATTTGGGTAGTAAAATTGTTTTTTGCAGTTGTTTGCATTTTTTATGAAGTCAGACTAAAATAAAGTTGAATACTACTGGTATACATAAATGCCAGTTTTATTGGAATGCAATCTAGAAAGACATGCATACCAAATGAATAAGAAATCACACGACTGGTATATATATAGTAAGTTATTTGCACATGCAAGTATGTTCAGAGCACATATTGCTTTCCACACAGGTTATACTCAAAAGGTATATTAAAATATGCATGTTAATCACACTAAAGGGAAACCACATGAACAAGTTACATGCAGACATCATTAAAATAAGCATGTTTACACACACTGGGGAAAAACTATATAAATGCAATGTTTGCATTAAAAGGACAATCACTTATCCATAACAATAAGAAATGACATGAATGTATATTTGTAACCTGTTATTCACAGTTAAATAGTGTGTTAGAAACATAATTTTACCCACACTAGTTAGAAATCATAAACATGTGCTAAATATAGCAGTTCATCTAAATTCAAAGGTCATTTAGCAATTGCTTATTTACTCTCATGAAAAATCACACACGAAAATGTTATATGCAATAAATCAATTGCATGCAAGAGTGAGCTAAGGAATGCTGCCTTTGCAAGGGTATCTATCAAATTTAATCTTCAAATGTCTAATGTTGCATTACTTCTGTTTTTGTGAAACTTCAGCTGATTTTCACAACACTTCTTTATATTAATTACACTTCAGCTGATTTTCACAACACTTCTTTATATTAATCACAATAATACCAAGTACCTTCGACTCCAAGATGATCTCGTTAAAGTCGCAAGGCTGAAGCTGGACACAACTAAGTTAATGGTAATGGTATCGCTGCTTGCAAGCTGACGCCCCCCTTTTTTAATAATTTTGGTATGACTCCAGGATTGCGTTTTATGCTAATTCTGGTTGTCTGTCTGCATTCGGTGATCCAATGTTTACCTCATGTGCTAACTGTATGTTTCCCTTCCCCCTCTTTACATTCGTACATTTTCTTTTAGCGTCTGCTGCTTATTTTTTTAAAACGAGTACATTATGTCATTTTTTTCAATGGACTTATCAATTTCAACAACACTCCTTTTATTTACACAAAATAATTTCTGTCTTTGCATACATTTCACATTGTTACTATCAGTCAGAAGACTTTAAATCATATTCTAAATAAAATTAAAAAAAACTGGGAAGCAGAGAAGAATATATAAGTAAATACAGTATACCTTTATGTATCCTGGTAACTACCTAGGTCAACTGTGTTTCAATCTGGCCCTGCTCTTTACATAAAATAAAAAATCACACATGAGAAATGTGAGTTACTATTTGTTTAACAGGGCATATTTTAAGATCCTATTAGAAAGAAAAGATACATATCAAGTTATTTGTATTAAATATAAAAGAAAGAAATTTAAATACCTTTGAAATGAAAAGTCCTTTGTTTAATTCATGTCAACAATTCCTTCTATCCATCTAGTGGAGAGCTATGAAGATTTGATCAGAGGATTCAAACATTATCCTATAAAGACAAAATGTCTTTTCTAATAATATACAGTCAAAAGTTGTTAATCCGGACCTCAAAGCTACGAACTTCCTGCACATGCCTCAACGCATACTGCATTCACGCATGCGCATAATATGTTACGCATAAACATATTATGCGCGTTTAATGTATAACGGACAGTATAAGCTAAGCTAAAATTATCTAATTATCTAATTCAGTTAATGTTGTACATTGCGTTGTTCCTTAATCTTCGAATTGGATCCGGCTTATTATTTTTTGCAGACTGTTAGAGCAATTTTATAAAAGTAAGCTTGAACTTTCGATTATGTCAAATAGAATTTCTGATGCTGGAGCTGCCAAAGGATCTACAAAGCGAAAGTATGTTTCGATGTCCATCGAACAAAAAGTGGAATTGCTGCAAAAAATGGACAAAGGCATATCCTTTGTTTCTCTAACCATTACAAAATCTGTTTATCAATTTCACGCTGCTCTGGGGGGGGGGAAACGTCGCGGCGCGCAATGAATTGAAAGTTGATCTGTCAGCACTATCCTTATCTTCAGGGCAGATGCTTTTATTTTATTTAGCGATTAATTCCTTACTAAATGTAGTATTTCTTCTCGATGTACTCCGTCATTGATATGATTTAAATCAAATTCCTCATCATTATAATTCACTTCCGATAGTGAAAAAAGTGACACAGAGGTTATTGAAAACCAAAAAATTTCGATTCACAAATTAGTCGGCATTCTTGACACAGCAATTATAGTACTTGAACAGTGGAACTTTGTAACTGAACAAGAAATTATGTCTGTTTATAGAATTAAAGAGAAATGCACTATCACATAAAATGAAGCAACTTAAACAACTTACATTGAAAGAAATGTTTAATAAAGTAAACAAATAAATATTAAGCTTTTTTTTTTTTTTTTTTTTTTTTTTTTTTTTTTTTTTTGTAAATTTTGATACCCTTTAGATCATAATTGTTCTTTATTTCATAAATTATGGTTTCATATTTTTAATTTTATAATTTCTGCATGCCATGTTAGCAAATTTAAAGTGATGATCTATAATCCGGAAAAAACGATAATCCGAAATCGCCGAAGTCCCGACGAGTCCGGATTAAAGACTTTTGACTGTATTTTACTTTTTACAGCAACAGAAAAATAAACCAGTCAGCATGCAAGAATAGAAAACCTTTTAAAATTAAAACAAATCACAAAATATTAGAGATTATAAGTTATGTTTGATAATAATCATCAATGCCCAGTCTTAAAAATTCCAACTTACAACTTAATTAATAAAACACTTATATTGATCATTCAATGCAAAATGCTTGCATAGAGCTCAATGAATTCTTCAAATAGCAAGTATAAACTGCATGCCCTCATGTTCCAAAAACACAGTCAATTTTTTATATTTCAACATACTGATATTTATTAAGGTTATTTAATTTTTGTTGGTTTTGGCTATGGATTTGAGATAAATAGGAATAAGTTTATCAAAAAAAATTTCCAAAATAATTCTTTTTATGAACATTTTTCTACCAAATGTTCAAATTATAAACAATGTGGTCCGAGTTTCGATTTGGGTAGTAAAGTTGTTTTTTGAGGTTTGCATTTTTAAGAGGTAACACTGTGATAAATCTGAACACTACTGGTATACATAAAATGACAGTTTCATTGGAATGCACTCTATTGCCTATTTGGGAATAAAAGTTTTCTCTGCAATGCGTGTTGACTTGCATTTCTTCATTTATTTTCTAAAAGATTTTGAGTTAAAGAAAAAAACACTTTTTTAAAATTAATTATTTATAACTCACTCATACGAAAAATGTATTACATAACTGTATTCTTAAAGAACAATACATATTCTTCTGATTTTAGCTTATGTCTGCTAAAATCAAACAACAGTTATAAAAGGAGGAAGAAACAAAAAGAATATGTTTGCTTTTTCTGTCTGAAAGAAGAATGCTCAACTACACAGTAGACTATTTTCAAATTTATATTTTATTGGGACTTACTTTCCTGAATACAGGACAGAGGGGGAAAAAATATTTATTTACATTTACATGTAACATGCGAATCACATATAAAATGTGAAATTCTTAATTTACTTCAAAGGTTTCTTTCCATCAAAAACATGTCTTATTATTTTTGAAATGGTTTAAATATGGATTTGCGGCTCTCGAACATTCATGAAATCTACTATGAGGCTCCTGTCGTCATGAAGTCTGGCCACCCCAGGTATATAAGTTATTTGCACATGCAAGTATATTAAAGGTGTATATTGCTTTCCACATAGTTAAGAAACAACAAGAGTATGTTCGTGCCATTTATGCTCAAAAGTCATATTAAAACACGCATCTTAATCACACACGGACAAGTTGTATGTGATGAATTATTTGCATCATTAAAATAAAATTGTTTACAAACACTGGGGGCAACTTATATGAATGCAATGTTTGTAAATCATCCGCACACACAAGTGCATTAAAGAGACAAATGCTTATGCAGTAACAAAGAGAAATGACCTGAATGTGATATTTGTAACTAGGTATTCACAGTTAAATGTGTGTTAAAAACACACATATTTTTATCCACTCTGGTGAGAAATTATAAACATGTGCTAAATATAGTAGTTCATTTAAATTGATAGGTCATTTAGCAATACATGTGCTTATTTACTCTCATGAAAAAGTTAGATGCAATAAATAATTTTCATTCATGAGTGAATTAGCTAAGAAGTTTATTAAAAAATGCTGCCTTTGAAAGGAGATCTCTCATATTTAATCTTCAAATGTTTCATGCTGCATGACTTCTATTCTTGTGAAACTTTTGCCAAACCACGCTTTTATACTAATCACCATAACGCCATTTCTTGCAAACTGTAAATACAAATAAGAAAATATCTAGAATTACAAAATAAGCTTACTTTTAAGTTCTCAAATATTATTTGAATTTTCAAAACTGAACACAATGTAAAGCCAACAATTAAAGTCGAGAAATTATCCAAAATGTTGTACAACTATTTTTAATTCATTTTTTAAATCTGGAACACAACACAATATAATTCTGATATAAGCTTATCAAAAACACAATACTGTAATTAAACTTCATTAAGGTTCACTAGAAAGTATGAAATTATACATTGTATGGATATTTATTTACCTAAATGATAAGTGGAATTTGAATGGAAATTAAGAATACAGATTTGTAAATAGATAAAAAAATAAAAGAAAAAGAAGCTGAAACAGAACATTTGAAAATGACTCATGAATAACATTTTGAATAACTCAAGAGTTCCATTTAATTAAATGAAATAAGAAAATTGTGTAAGTATTTTCATTTAAAATTAAATTACACTGAATTACCTAAACTCATATATCCCATCATATTATTTATTTAAATATGATTTATAATGTAAAATGACATTTTCCTTATAATCAAATAATTATACACACAGTACAAAGTGTTTAATCCGTACGTCCATAAACCGGACCTCAAAGCTACAAACTTTCTGCGCATGCGTAGTGTTTACGCATGTGCATTTAATGTATAATGGACGGTAAAAGCGAGGCTAAAATTATCTATTTCAGTTAATGTTGCAGATTGGGTTGTTCCTTAATCTTCTAATTGGATCTGGCTTATTATTTTTTTCAGACTGTAAGAGCAATTTTATAAAAAGTGAACTTGAATTCTCGATTATGTCAAAAAGAGTTTCCGATTCTGGAGCTGTAAAGCATCTACAAAGCGAAAGCATGTTTCGATGTTCATGAAACAAAAAAAGGAATCGCTGTAAAAAATGGATAAAGGCATGAAGAAAGTGACAGAGAGGTTAGTGAAAACGAAAAACTTTCGACTGACAAGTTAGTCGGTATTCTCAGCAATTACAGGACCTTGAACAGTGGAACTTTGTAACTGAACAAGAAATTATGTCTGTTTATAGAATTAAAGAGAAAGTATTAGCACATAAAATGAAGCAACTTAAACAACTTACATTGAAAGAAATGTTTAATAAAGTAAACAAATAAATATTAAGCTTTTTTTTTTTTTTTTTTTTTTTTTTTTTTTTGTAAATTTTGATACTTTTTAGATCATAATTGTTCTTTATTTCATAAATTACGGTTTCATATTTTTAATTTTATAATTTCTGCATGCCATCTTAGAAAATTTAAAGTGATGATCTATAATCCGGAAAAATCGATAATCCGAAATCGCCGAAGTCCCGACGAGTTCGGATTAAAGACTTTGTACTGTATAAGATAGCATTATTTTTGGTACTTTTGAAAAGAATTTCTAAAAGTTACTAACCTGCAGCCGATAAGGGATTTTTTTATCTTTTCCTTTGGAAAAAAAAAAGGTAGATTGTCTAAGGGTGGTTGCATTAATACTTAAGCACCTTATATTTAATCTAATAAACTTATATCTTAACATATTGCCATTGCTGATATTGAAGGAGACTTTTCCAGCAAGTTAATTAAACCAAGAAATAAGAAACACTATTTTTAGCTTCGCACTAGACTCATTTTTCACTCTAAAAATTAGGATGTTAATGCCCATTGTACCATAGAAAATGCTACTATGATGAATATTTTGCCATGTTTGCAAGTGTGACATAAACAAAACACAACTAATAACTTTTAAGTATTTAATTAGCCAAAACTTTCATCTAACCTTTGAACGCGTTAATGAGTGCATTTGAAGGAATAGGAAAAAAGTATATATTTTTTTACTTAGGAAGGCACATTACATTTATTATAAACAGTTATTGTTTGACTATTATAGTGTTTGCATCTTTTCCTTTTGATTGTTCAACTTTTCTCGATAACGTGGTTTGTGGAATCCTTTTTCATTTTGTTTCAGTCTAAATTATAGAAGAAAAATGGTCGGGAAACACAATCAGTATATGAAGATAAATGCTGGGAATTTTTCAGAATATTCTTCCCTTGTTTACAGCAATGCCAGTACAGCACGTTTTTCAAAAGCTAACCTAGAACTTTTGTGGTCTACAGCAAAATCATAAAGTTTCCGTGCATTTGATTTAATTCTGTGAATTCATCAAA